GAACTCAGACTCTAGAGATCTCTTCTGATTTGATTTCTGATCAGCCGCACTGTGGTTGGAGAGCATCACCGTGCCACGTGAATCTGCTGAAAGCTGTTGTTTTCGTGGCTGGTGAAGGACTTGTAGCAGACAGCTTTTGGAGCCACGGTTTGCCCCTGCGGTGGGCAGCACGCACAGGCATGGCACCCTGCAGCTTCCCAGAGCTTTGCTGCGGACCTTGGGCCTGGCTTCCATCTCTCCACTCCTGGCCTCTGACCACGCGCCACGTGGTAGAAGCACATCAGAAACACCTTGGCCACCCACGTGAAGGGACATGTCACTCTATTGCTTTGGTTCTGTGGTGTTTTATTAAAGGTGGTGCACGTGTGTGTGTGTATGTGTGTGTGTGTGCTGTGTTGATCCTGGGGCTCGAATTAAGGGCCTCATGCTTGGGCTCTGCTCTTGTCTGGTTCTCTACCACCTGACCTCCTCCCCGAGGCCTTTGTGGATTGGTTATTTGGAGGAGTGGATCTTGCTCTGGGCCCGGGCCTGCACTGCAGGCTTCTTCTTCGTGCCTCCCTACATCGCTGGGCTGAAAGGCATGCTCCACTGCACCCAGCAGTGAGAGATGCAATCTTGTGAACTTTGCTTCCGGGCTGGCTTCAACCCTTATCTCCCACCTCTGCTTCCCAGTCAGCTAGGATTAGAGGCCTGAGCCATGGTGCCTAGATAATTCCATTTCTCTCTCCACTCTGCGAGGTGGGTAGAACCCCCCCCCCGGGCATCTCACCCCATGGCGTCCACTCTGCGTCCACCACCCTCTCCACAAAGTTAGAATTCTGAAGTTACAATTCATGTTGTGCAGAGAAATCGTGTAAACGCCTCTTAAGAAAACCGCTAACTCCTCAAGCGCGGAGTTGTGAGCGAGCGTGAAAGGCAAAAATAAGCAGTTAAATACAGAAACATTTTCAGTCTGTCAAGCTAGAATTTTTTTTGAAGTGTTGTTTTTGAAATTTGCTTAACCGCAAGGGCAATGAAAATAATCTTCATAAACATACAACGTAAGCGCTGCTGTAATTCGTGTATAAATGCTGTGTGTGGGGGGGGGGTTGATAAGTGTTACTGAGTGTATTTGTCTTAAGCAAGTGCATTTGCGCCCTGTGTGACATGTTCTTGCATGAAGGTGGCACCTGGTATTGTGGAGGTCACGCATGACAGTGGGAAGGCCTCTCAGGTGCCAGGGGTCGGGCCGCTGCCGGACTGAGCTGTGCCACGCTGGTGGGCAGCTAGGGCCCCGCAAGGGAGCTCCCCCTGGCTCCTCCAGGCCACTGTAGTCCCCATGAGCTGCATCTGCCCGGAAGCCCACTGCTGGGCCGTTCCCTCCTTCCTGCTCTCCTGAGCGTCCATGCTCTGCCCCCAGATCCTACTGCCTATGTCTCCTCATCGACTGGCTTATTGACGTGAGGTCTGGCTCATTTTCTTTTTTGCCCAGGCTGGCATTGAACTGTGATCCTCTTGATTTCACAGGTAACTAGAATTCCAGGCTGACAATGGCGGTGCCGGGGGGAGGTTTCTTCCTGACACCGCTGCCACTGAGTGAAAGACGTTTGTTCGGATAGAGCAACAGAGATGAGGCTGAGTGCTCACTCTGAGCTCCGGCTCTCCTCCCAAGGACACGAGAAGGTCACGTTTCTAACTCTGGGAGGTGGTACCTGCGATGGAGATTTGGCCAGCGGAATGCTCACGGAGGTCGTAGAACACCTTCTAGGGCGGATCCCCTACATCTCCAGTGCCACATCCCCATGGAGACCCCCAAGGCCCTCTGCCAAGCTGCACCCCGAGCAGGGGCGGCCACACTGGGGCCCCGGTCTGCTCGCTACGGCGGCCGCCTTCAGCTCTCACACCGGCTTGCAGAACTGGGTACTGGGAGTGCAGTGGACTCGCGAGCACTGCCCGGCCGCACAGCCGACGGAGGCTCCGGCTCCGTGGGAGCCGATGGGAGGGCGAAGGCTGTGCGGCCGCCACCAGCTCCCCACGGAGCTCCGCTGCTGGCCCAGGAAAGAGCTCGGAACATGGCATCTTAATAGTGCCTATTTAGTTTTCTTGGCTCGTGGCTAGGTGTTTCGAGAAAAAGAGGAGCTTAGCAGTTTGCAAGCAGGGATGAAACGAGTGGAAGACTCCAGGAATTTGAGATCTTGCAGAGATGGAAAATGTCAGAACATTTGCAGATTCCCAAACAGTAAGAGATAGGGATTTGTAAAAGTCTGTGAACAACAAAGACCAGCGTGACCAGAGTGACTCAGCCTGCTAGTAAAGGTGCTTCCTGCCTGAGCCCAGACACTTTGAAAAAGACGCGTGAGTTCACAGACGCAGGGGCACAGGTTAGTGAAGGACCATGTCTCAGGAAGAGCCGGAGGGCCTGAGAGGGATCCCATTCCCCGGAGCCCGGAGCCCAAAGTCTGGGTTCTGCATACCGTCCTCACCCTGAACTAGACACGAGCAGGTTTGAGTTGTATCTGGCCTTTGTTATAAAATGGCCAAGTGAGTTGAGACACCAGGCCTGGCACGGTCCACAGGGCAGGGAAGAGAGGCCAGATCGAGCTCCCTCCTTTTTTCCCTCTCTCCCTTTCTCCCTCTGGGGCCTCAAACTCTGCAGGCTTTGTGCCAATCTACCGCCTACCATGTTCTTTAGCAACACGAAGATACTCGTGTTGTCTTTGTCACCGTGACTAGTCAGCCTGAGGCATATGGGTGGGGGTGGCGATCTGAGCAGCTCGCTGGAGGCTGGTGGGCGGCTGGACACCCACTGCCTACCACACCATGTGCTGCCGTCCCAGCGAGAAACCCACCAGAGCCAGGGACGGCCTGAAATACCCATCTGCCCAAGGTGGCAAGCAGGGCGCGGATCCCCACAGTCCCCAGCAGGAGAGGGGTGAAGGGTCTCAGAGCCAATCTTCTGAAGCATTAAGGATGACCAGGACTGTGAAGACTGGCCAGAGTGACCCCCACGCCGAGAGTGAGCAGGGGCTGGGAGGCTGAGGAGGTCGACCGACAAGTTTTGGGCCAAAGCCGTGGACTCTGGTGTGCAGTGGCTGTGGACGCGGTGTCCAGAGATGGCGGACGACCCGCCAGTGTGTAGGAGCAGGTGTGTAGGAGAGGTGAGCCAGCATTTGGGGACATGACCCACTCTGAGAAAGCAAAAGTGGGGTCTGACCGCTGCTGCTGGGCGGGCTCCCTGCTAAAGAGACAACCAAGTCTCCATTCTCCTGGAAGAAGCTAGAAGGACCTGGCCTTGCAGTGAATCACCTTCAGATCCTCTGCGCACGATCCCAGAGCATACAAAAGACGGAATCAAAACACACACAACCCTGAAGGGAAAGAGAATCAGTGCCCCCGGCACCAGCACCACCCAGGGCGAGGAGCAGCCGTGACGGCCAGCTGGCAAGGTAGATCTTCCAGCCGTCCTTCCAGTCGTAAGGGCAAACGTCAGCGGATAGGACATTCTCGTCAAAGACCTCTGAAGTAGAAACCAGAAACAAAGATAAGCTGCCGGATGGAGCATTTCCATAGGAATAAAAACTTCCTCACAGCAGAAAATAAGAAGCTACGCACCCTTCAGCAGGGCAGCGGCAGGCGGGAGCCAGTGTGAATCTGTAAACACCGGGATTGGCACAGTAGAGTGTTTGCCCACCGTGCCCGATACTGGGCACCGAGAACATAGAAAATAAGTGAAGAGCAATGTGCTAAAAGGAAAATGTGCAGAATTCTACAACATATTAAAAACTAGGCAAGATAGACATTTTCAGATAATAAAAAGCAGGGAAAATTTACCATCCAAAGGCCAGCATGTATGACAGAGAGGTTTGGCAGACAGCCAAATGCAGGAAGAGAAAATGCAGGAAGGAACAATGAGCCATACAAAGGTTAAAAACGGGGATGAAGGTGAATAGGGACCGCACGGAGCAGTGTCATAGGGGTTAAAGGAAACATGTCGTCAGCCTCCGTGACAGCCAGAATGGAAAGATTGTCTCCATGTCCCTTTATCTGCTCTCTCTCCTGGCTGCGGTTCTGGGGCAGTGTTTGGCTAAGATCAGGGCTGGACACGCAGCAGCCCTTTCCTGCCACGGAGGGCAACGGCTGGGTAGGAGATCGGCTTGATCTGGGCACGTCCAACTGTGGACTGATTGGTTGTGGCCATTCATGTGGCTTCCAACAGTGGCTGACACTTTACCCTGATACCAGCTGCTTCTTCTCGGGGCCCTGGGGAGCACGCAGCAGCACCTCATTTGAGTTGTAATTTGCATTTGTCTGAGAGGTAAGCAGGTAGAGAAAATTTTCATAGATATACTCGCCCTATTAAAAGATAAGTGTATTGGAATACATTGTATGTAGAAACTCATTGGAGCTTTAACTAAGTATATTATGGGTATCTGTTCAAATCACACAGTGGAATACTAGTCAGCTGTAAAGGGGAATGAAGTCAGTCATTTGCAGGGAACTGCATGGGCCTAGAAACCACCACCACAGTAGGTGAAGTGAGCCGGGCTTGGGAGGACAGAGGGCCCATTTTCTCCCATGTGTGTATGTATGTGTATATGAATCGTATGTGTGATCAATCTACTGAAACATGGTGTATGCATGTATGAATCGCCATGAAACTCCTTCGAGCAATTAACAGGAACTTTTCACAGAACTGGATAGTAGGTCGTTGTAACATTTCTTGTGTGGGTTGTAGACGTCAACGGGAAGAGGCAGGCAAAGGGGCCGAAGAGAGAAGGCAAATGTCCACCAAAAGCTTTTATTCATGTGTAAAATAGAACCAGGTGGCAGGATGGGATCTCCAGGCAGTGCAGGCGTGGCGGAGCCCGGGGAAGCCGGGTGAGGAGGGGGCCCCAGGCAGAGGGGTGGAGGGGGAAGCCGGGGGAGGATGGGGCCCAGGCAGAGGGGTGGAGGGGGAAGCCGGGTGAGGAGGGGGCCCCAGGCAGAGGGGTGGAGGGGGAATCCAGGTGAGAATGGGGGCCCCAGGCAGGGGGGTGGAGGGGGTGGGGGCGAAGGGCAGTAGCAGCAGGCAGCCAGGTCCCTTTCTTATCCAGAGACACAGACCAAGGGCTTGGGATGCAGAAGTGGATTTCTGGTGGATGTCCCCGTTGGGTGCGGAGAGCTAAGTGAGCCGCACCTTCATCTCTGACACCTTGTAGCTGTAATAGTATCCTTTCCCTGAGTTCCAGTTGATGCCGTTTGCAAAGCTGGAATGGGAACCCTGAAGGTACAGGCCGTTCAGGTTTGACACGTGGCACCCAGCGTACCACCAGGCCCCTTGGTACACCACCGCACAGTTAGAAGTGCTCATGTCGTTGTCCTGGTCTTTGGTGGTGAAGGGCTGGTTGTTGTGAGATGTCAAGGAATCACCTGTGAGGAGAAAAAGTGGGTGTGGTCCATGCCAGAGGCGGCCTGCCATCCCAGGCCCCACCTGGCCCTGCCTTCTGCTCTGAGAACTCATCCTCGCTCTGAGAACTCCTCCTGCCCAGAGGGCTGGGTGGATGAACCAGCCGCCCAAGCCTCCCAGCAGGTGGGCCTCCAGGTCCTGGTCCCGGAATCCTGCAGCCATTGCCTCCTGCCCCAGGCATCTGCTGCTTCCTGAGAGCTCCTAGCACCTTTGGGACCTGCCATCTCCTTCCCACTGCTGTACCTCCCTGGGTCTTCTGTATGCCAGGGATGGATTTCCTGCACACAAGCAGCACTCCCCCTCCCAAGCCTCAGCCTGCCCTGCCTGCAGATTGGGGGTGCACACTTTGCCCTGAAGTCCCCAACGGGGACACAAGCTCCAGGGCAGACACCCTGAAAAAGCAGGTTTGGGTTCAGTGTGGATAACTAGGCTCAGGCCCTGCTGTTGTCCGAGGCGTTGGTGAGCAGGTGTGTCTGGGAGCTCCTCCAGCAGGGCCCCTCCCAGACCACATGGCCAGAGTCCTTCTGGGAAAGAGAGCCTCTGTGATTGGATATAAGGTGTCCCTCCAGAGGCTCCGGGGTTGAAGGCAGAGCCCCACAGTGCTCAGAGGTGGGGAGGTGACAGTATCACCTCATGGGGCATCCATTCACGTGTGGCTTCACAAGGCACATCAGCTACTGGGAGGGGGCGGGACTGCGGGAGGCGGGGCCTGGCTGGAGGAAGCCTGCTTCCCTCTGCTTCCTGTCTGCAGGAGGTGAGCAGCTTAGATGTGCCTCAAGCACCCCCATCCCGTCCCTCCCGCACAGCAGAGACCCCCAACCCGAAGCCCCCGCCCCCAGCGCCTCAGAAGCCCCGCCCCTGCCGGGTCCTCGCATACTCACCGGCACTGCCCCCCTTGAAGTCCCCCAGGACCAGCTTGTACTTGTCTGCCTCCCCCAGCATCTGGAAGGAGCTGTAGGTGGCATAGACTCTCTTGCCCTCAAAGTCCACAAGGTCCACGCGGAGCTCGCTGGTTCCTGCCAGGGACGTTTTAAGGCTCAACCTCTGAGGCTTGAGAAGTGGGGTTGGGGGCGCTGTGGGTACGGATGTCACCCGGGCATGCTTGAAAATCCCTGTGGGTTTTCTGGGCTGTTCTGCTGTGCTACAGGCTGGGCCCGACCCAGCCTGGCAGACCCTCAGAAATGTGGGTTCTGCTAAGGGCTGAGTGGCACCACAGCAGTGGAGTGAGAAGTGTGTGTGTATGTGAGTGTGCTTGAGCCTGTGTGTGCAAGTGTGCATGTATGTGCACATGTGCCTGTATGTGTGTGAGTGTGCATGTGTGTGCTCGTGCCTGTGTATATGTGTGTATATGTGTGTGCATGTACACAATACATGCCTGTATGTGTTGCATGCCTCTGTATGTGTATGCATGCCTGTGTGTGCTTGTGCCTATGTGTGAGTGTGCTTGTGTGTACATGCATGTGCTGTGCTCGTGCCTGTGTATAGTGTGGATGTGGATGTGTTCATGTGCATGCAGACATGCCTGTATGTGTGTGTTCTGTGTCTGTGTGTACATATGTATGTGTGTATGCTTGTGCCTGTGTATGTGTGTGCATGTGCGTGCTTGTATCTGTATGTGTACAAGCAAGCACGTGTGTATGTGTACATGTGTATGTGCATGCACACATGCCTGTGTGCATGTATGTGTGCACACATACCTATATGTGTTTGAGTGTGCACATGTGTGTGCGTGTGAGTGTGCATGTATATGTGTGCATCCCTCCTCCCAAGCTGGAGAACACCAAATGTGTTTGAGTGTGCATAGGTGTGTGTGTGCACGGGTGTGTGCATGCACCTATGTGCATGCCTCTTCCCGAGCTGGAGAACACCAAGTGGCATCTGAAGGACCAAGGGCATCCCAGCAACCACTGTGAGGCATGTCCCTGAGCCCTGCTGGACTCTGTCCCTCTTATTGTGGGTTCTGAGATGCCAGTGGCCTGAGACTGGCCAGACCCCTCTCTGCCACCCGTGTCCTCAGATCCTGACGTCCTGGAGTGGTTGTGCTCAGTGATACTCAGACTCTAACCACGCAGGACTCCTTTGCTGAACAGCCCTAGTGCAAATGGGTCATGGCCAGGGCCCTGGGCACGGCTCACCCTGGGACGTCAGAGCCTGGATGTTGTCATTTCCCAGCCAGAACTCCCCCAGCTGACTGCCGAAGCCCTGCTTGTAAGCAGCCCAGTCTCGATAGAAGTCCACAGAGCCATCCACCCTGCGCTGGAAGACCTGTAGGGGCAGGGTGGGAGGAAAGGGGGAGGACTCAGGCTGAGCCCACAGCACTGCACCCAGCCCCATACAGGAGCAGAAATGGCTAGCACAGGAGCTCCAGGACTGGGTGCTGTAGGCTCAGAGAAGGTCGGCAACAAACCTAAAGCCACTGAGGAGGCCTGGGAGGCCGGAATTTCCTCCAGGCCTCCCTACGGCCTGGATGCTCATCCACCTCTATCTCTTCAGTCCTCAGAGAAGGAAGGTCTGGGAGAGGCACTGGGGGGTGGAGGGAGGGGGCTGCAGGAAGTCTCCCAGGCCATTCTAGAACCCAGCCCCTGGAGTCCCGGGAGCCTGCCTCTGCCCAGGCCCCCCCGCCCGACACTCACAGTCCAGCCTCCACCTTCTGTGTCCATGTCACAGAGCACAGACAACGGCCGGCAGTCGGGCAGGTAGATGGTGTGCCAGCCCGTCAGGAGGTCATTGTGTGTGAGCAGTTCCTTGCAGTTCCGAGGTCCTGCAGATGGAGCAGGGCGTGAGGGGGGATGGGGCGTTTGGGGAGTAGCTGGGAAGGGAGGCAGGTAGGGGAGGGCTCTGGAGACAGAGATGACAGGGTATGGGCGGGGGAGGAGAGGGGCTGTGCTCACCTGTGGCACATGTCTCAGATGACTCGGGGTCACCTGTGTGGGGGACAGAGAGGACATGGGCCATCACTTTGAGGTAGGTCACTGCCCTGGTCTGCTTCAGCCCCAAGTGCCTCTTCTTACAGAAGAGAAAATGGGACAACCACTTGGAGATTCCGGGGCCAGCTCACCGGTCACTAGACTGTCCTTTCCTGAGAGCCTGGGGCCCGGCTGCCTGGCTCTCTCCTGTGGTGGTGGTGAGCATTGTCACCCCATGGCCAACTGCTTAGGCCACTGTGTGCCAGGCAAAGCCAAAACTGTGCCCTCAAACCCAGCATAGTCCATCGAGGCTCTTCCTAGGAAGTGTTCTCAAGGATGCTCTGTGTGTGTGTGTGTGTGTCTGTCTGTCTGTCTGTCTGTCTGTGTGGCCTGGTGACTCTGTGCCCTGATCCTGCAGTTTTTATTTGAAGACAGGGCAATGGACTCTATCTTAGTTTTGTAACTTTTGCTTTGACTAATTTTGCAATTAAAAAAAAACACCAAACCAACAAATGAGCTTCATTTAGACAAGATTTCAAATAACCCAGGTGTCCAGCTTGACACGGTACTGTCATCCTGGCTGTCATTGGAGTGGACAGTGGGCAGGTGCTGGGGTTCATCTCAGGCACTGGGGTGTCTAGGTCTGTCTGCTGAACAATAGGAGTTGTGCCTGGGGCCCCGGGGGAGGGTGGTGGGTGGCCCAGCCCCCCGAGCTCTCCCTGGATGCTGCTGCAGATGGGCCCGGGAGGCTCACCTTTCTCTCCACGAGGGCCCTTCTCTCCTGGGTCTCCTGGAAAGAACAGAGAACAAGATGCTGATTCCCAGAGCCTCTGGTGGGCCCAGAGATCCACTCTCCCCTGGGCACAGCTCTCAAGAGCCTGCATTGCCTCTGGGTGTGTGGGGGGGAGCATTGGGCTCTCCCACCCCCTGAGGTCCAGGGTAAGACCAGGCCCCCTCCATCTCTCTCTCCCACCCCCTTGTCTTTATAGGCAGCTCAGGATGTCTGCTTGGAGCCTCTTCCCACCATCATTCCCTTCCTTACCTTTAGGCCCTGGTGGTCCTTCCTTCCCAGGTGGTCCTTCCTTCCCAGGTGGTCCTTCCTTCCCAGGTGGTCCTGGGAGACCTTGTTCTCCTGTGAATTCCAAACATATCTTACAGGGCTCAACACCCGGTGCAGACTCCTGTCCTCCCATTCCAGCTCTAGAGAGCCCCAGGATTGTGGGTTGTGCTCAGCCTCTGGGGACCGTGGATGGCAGTGACAGAGCCAGCACAGCGTCACGGTCACCGGCCAGGAGCCTGGGGCAGAGGCAGGGTGTCTGCCTGGCTCCTGTTTGCTCTTGGGTGCAGCTTAGATTCCAGTCTTCATGAACACAAGCATGGGGCTACGCTGGCTTCCCTAGGGCTGGACTGTCCAGTTAGAGCAGGCCCTGTCCTGAGAGAATCTCTTCTCACGGCAGGGTCCCTGTGCCGGGAGGAAGCGGCGTGTGCCAAGGCCCTGGACCCAGTAGGAAAGAGTAAGGGGGCCACATAGCCCTTTGTGTGGAAGGCCATGCTAGAAGCTGGGAGACTCTCAGTCCAGTGTCTACCAGGGACCCCAGCACGAATGCAGGGACCCCCACACCATCAGCTTCGGGGTCCCTCCCAGAATGGGCGTTTTGTCTTCCCCTGAAGATAGAGTTGAGTCAGGGGAGGCAGCCACCACCTCGGGGAAGCTAGCAGGGACGCTTGCTGCCTCCCGACCCTCCCCACGCAGCACGGGGGGACACAGGTTCCTGCTCCAAGGCAGCTCGGCCTTGTGGAACCGTGGCTCGGGGTGAGTGAGACTGTGGGAAGATGGGAGCACCCGAGGTCCAGCACCACATCCCAGGGGACAGAACCTGACCCCTCCCCACGAGGTCTGTCCTGATGAGGAGGTGCCACAGACCTCTGACACCACTTGGGCCTCTAGGCTGCATGCCTCCTAGAACCCGTGAGTCACGGGGGACCCCAGCTTTGTCCTGTCCCTACCCGGTGGACTAAGTCACCTCCAAGTGTGTGAGGCTCACTGGGCAGCTTTGCTGCAGAAGCGCAGGCACATCTGCCCACCCAGGCTCGGGGGACTCAGACCACCGCCACCCGTGCCTGCCAGGACCACCATCACTGCCATCTTGGAGCGAAGGGTGCGGCAGGCGGGAGCAGCACAAGGCCACTTGAGGGCTCGGGCCTTGGTGGCTGCGCCCTGAGTCCGACAGCTGCGAGGCCATTGTGCTGTGGCTGGGGGCAGGGCTGGCTGGGGGCAGGGCTGGCTGGGGGGAGGGCTGGCTGGGGGCAGGGCTGGCTGGGGGAGGGCTGGCTGGGGGCAGGGCTGGCTGGGGGAGGGCTGGCTGGGGGCAGGGCTGGCTGGGGGCAGGGCTGGCTGGGGGCAGGGCTGGCTGGGGGCAGGGCTGGCTGGGGGCAGGGCTGGCTGGGGCAGAGCTGGCTGGGTGTGAGCTCACTGTGGTGCTGGCTGCCGTGAGCCTCTGTTTTGTCCCCTGAGATAGGTGGAGAAGAAATGAGACACCATGACTTTCTGGTGAGAATAAGGAGAGACACTGAAGTCAGGAGCCGGGCAGGGCTGCTGTGGGCTCGGGGCCAGGTGGCTCATCTACGAAGCTGTCCAGAGAGCTGCCCCTCAGTCCTTATTTCAGAAGGGCACTGAGCCTGCAGGGTCAGCCTCCCTCGCTGCCCCTAGCAGGGGTCAGACCAGGGCCGCCATCCTAAGACGCAAGGTGGAGGCATTGCCTAGCCAGCCCCCCTCCCCCACCCCGAGGACCAGAGCAGCATCCCCATCCTCCTTGCTTACCCCCCCTGCCCTGCACGCACCTCTCTCTCCCCTGGCTCCCGCCTCTCCTTTGGGTCCTGGGGGCCCTGGCAGCCCAGGACAGCCTCTCAGAATGGTGAGCTGGTTGGAGCTCTCCAAACCCACCACCTTCGTCTCTGCAAGGAAGCACAAGTGTCCAGTTCGTGAGTGCTGCCCTCCTTGGACAGCATTGGAGGCCCAGAAGAGCCAGGCAGGTTGCCGGTACCAAGAGCAACTGCCACCTCCATGCCATCAGACTTGGGCACATGGCGGTCACCAGGGGTAGTGGCTCCTGCTGGGGCGTTGGCCCAGATGCAGGGGACTGTCCTTCCTTGCCCCTGAGCAGTTGGTCAGGAAGGCGATGATACAGGGCAGAGCCTTTGCCTTCAAGGCTAACCTTGCTCAGTAGAGAACCACAGCCCTGGGTGCAGTGTGTCCCCAGGTAGATGGCTTGAGCCCTCTGATTCTGTCTCCCCCTTTGCCAATGGGGATAATAGAGACAAAGCAAGGATTGCTCTACAATTCTTAGCACTTTGAAAGAGCTTTGTAAACAGAGGGCAGTTTCAATAAATAACATCCAGACCCCAGTAGCTCATGTCTGTCATCCCAGCTACTCAGATGGCTGAGATCTAAGGATCACAGTTCAAAGTCGGCCCGACAGGAAAGTCTGTGGAACTCTTTTATTCAATTAACCAGCAAAAAAAAAGCAGAAGTGGAGCTGGGGCTCAAGTGGTAGATTGCCAGCCTTGAGCGAAAAATCTCAGGGAAGTGTCCAGGCCTTGAGTTCAAACCCTAGGACCACCAAAAAAGGTACTAATAACAGTCAATATTGCTTTAAAAATAGTGAGGGAATGGGATCGATGGAGCGTTTTCCCCCGCAAACCTTGGGGAGTGACTGTGGGAAGTATGAGCCGAGACACAGGGCAGGCCACTGCCTGCACGGGGCCATATGGAGCTGGTTGTTTCTTTTAAAAGTACCATTATTTTTGGTGATTAGGAAAAGCATATGCCGTCTGGGCAGACACTCGGAAGGCACAGCGCTGGACCCTGTGCTCTGGAGACGGGCTCAGCCTGGACGGTGCGCTGGCTCCTTGCTCCTCCAGCTCCTGCCCTGGAGCGGGCCATGGCCGAGGGCTGCGTCCTCCCCGCTGACGCGCTGCCCTTGGCGTGTCTGCTTGGTCCTTAGGGCAGGTCTCGGTGTGGGCAGAGCCCCAGGCGCAAGGCCCGGTGAGGGAGACTCCACCCGCGTCCACAGAACTATACGCTTGCCAAAGTCCCAGCAGAGTGGCTACAGCCGCTGAGATCGCTAGAGCCTTTCCCCCACAAGAAGACAGACAGAAATCTCAGTGGCAGAGAGGGGACCCGCTTGTGAGGTTCCATGACAAAGGCCGCCCCCGCCAGCCCCCGCTTGCTTCCCCTGACAGTGGGCGGGCCTCCGGGCCTCCTGCACCTCCCTCTCCTCTGAGGCTGGAGCCCAGCTGCAGGGTGCATTAGAAGCCGCGTTAGCCTAGCGCTCACCAGTCACTCAGCGGGTGGTTACCCCTCTGGGGGGAGGGGAGGAGACTCTGTCTCACCTGGGCAGGTATCATTAGCCTGGACAGTCAGATCTTTGATGGACAAGGCCCAAAAGAGCAGGACAAGCAGTGTCGGGGCCATGGCGATTCTGCTCAGCTCTGCCTCTTGTCTGGCTTGGTAGAGCTTAGCTCTTATAGATCAAGGGCAGCCGGCCCCGGCCTGACCTACAGTTTCTCAATCCCAAGGGATCACCCATTTCCTACTTTCTGGTTACACAACAGTGTAACCAGAGCCATCGCAGGGGACATCCGTCCGTCCCCCAGAGAGGCCTTCTTCCTGCAGGAGCTCCTTGGGCGCAGCCCAAATGGCTCCCCAAACTCCTCTGCTGCTACCCTCCCTCCCCCATGCCCCCACTCCCCTCACCACAGCCTTGACTGGGGTGAGGACAACTTTGCCGAGAGAATTTCCAGCTTTGTCTCATCCCCAGACAGTCTGGGTAAAGCAATCCGGCTTTTGTAGTAGAAGGAGAGGATGGGTTTTGAGGACCTACTTGGTCCAGAGTGCCACTTAGTGCTATAACCCTCCATGGCCCAGTAGGAGGAGAAACGTATCTGGAATTTACAGATGGAGAATCAAAGTCCCTCATCCAGCCGAACCCGGACTGTGCACGCAGTCTGTCTGGAGTCCTGTGAGGTGGAGGAGGCCGAATTCTACATCTTGAGTTGTGTGTCCCTCGGTGCCTGAACAGGCTCGGGGTTCTTGGGATTTGTAGACACAGCTCCTGGGAGTCCTGGCATGGCAGGAGAGGTGGCGAGGGGGCAGCTGGGCTCTGCTTGGCTGATCTTCTAAGCCAGTGTGTGCAGAGCGGCCCCTGGAGGAGAGGAGCAGGATGGCCAGGTGAAAGGCTGCGCGTGGATACAGGAGGCGGCCGGGGAGTGCAGGACTGAGTCCAACCAGTGTGGTGGCTCGGGGCCTCACACAGGTCAGGGTGCCTGGCTTCGGGCTCTGGGAAGAGAGCACAGACAGATGGCAGATGGTGGTGCCTCCAGTCCCTCCCCGCGCTGCTGAGCCGCGTGAGACCCCTCAGCCATGTGACCACCGCGTAGGCTACGGCTGACTCGGGAACGATGCCCACTGGGGCTTAGTCTGGACAGGTAGAGGCAGCTGAGCCCGCATTCCACAAAGACTCCCTGGGGCAATGTGTGACCTGGTCTGCAAGTTGTCACCAAGATCACTTGAGTCAGTTCATGAGAAAGGGCAGCGGTACAGCCAGACAGAGCGTATGGAAGGATGGGTGCGCAGCAGGTGGGCCAAGGCTGGGAGCGTTGAAGCTATGGCCTGACTGAGGGTGAAATCCAGAAAGCGGCCTCTGAGGCTGAGAATCAACCGGGAGGCCTCTAACCCCCACGCTGATAACGCATGTGCCCAGTGGGGGACGCGGGGGGTGGAATCACAACAGGAAAGTGGGAGACTGGAAAGGCAGAGACATAGTTATCATTATTTTCAGGAGATATTATTAAAGATGTCAAAAATTCAAGTAATTCTAAAGATAAAGAGTGATGATGAGCAAGTTCAGCAAAAACCAAGTGTGTTTCAAAAAAATTCACCACGGTGCACGTTCCTCTCATATGCGGAAGCTAGATTTAACATTCAATCATACATGACGATGTACACAGGTTACACGTTCCTCTCATATGGGGAGGCTAGAGCAAACGTTCAGTCATACATGCTGACATACACAGGGTTACACGTTCCTCTCATATGTGGAGGCTAGATCTAATATTCAATCATACATGACGACGTACACAGGTTTACACGTTCCTCTCATATGGGGAGGCTAGAGCAAACGTTCAGTCATACATGCTGACGTACACAGGGTTACATGCGTATGCACACAAATGAATTGACCAAGGGATGGTATGCTTAGGAGAGGGGTCCAGCGGTGTAACTCTGTCAGACCACTGAGAAACCATTTAACAAAATAAATTCTAAGAAGCTGAAAGGGGAGGGGATGAGGAGTCATAAGAAAGGAGGCAGGAAGCGTAACCAAATGCAGTCACTCTATCCAGTGTACATTATATAAAAAGGGAACCATGTAACTTGAGGGTAGGGCTGGGATGGGGGAGAATGGAGGAGAATGACAGGAGGGGTGACATTGACCAAGATGCATTGTGCTCATAGCCTGACTTCTGGAATTGAAGCCCCTTCGTACAACTACTTAATAATAGTAAATACACACACATATATAAATATATATATGCATATATATATATTGGTCGTGGGGCTTGAACTCTGGGCCTGGGCGCTATCCCTCAGCTCTTTAGCTCAAGGCTAATGCTGTACCACTTGAGCCCCAGCACCATTTCCGGTTTTCTAGTGATTTATTGGAGATAAGTGTCTCATGGACTTTCTTGCCTGGGCTGGCTTTGAACTGTGATCCTCAGATCTCCTGAGTAGCTAGGATAACAGACATGAGCCACTGGTGCCTGGCAGTAAATACATATTTTTTAACTTAGCCATGCAGAAGAAAAGAAGGAAGAGTTACACTTCTTCAGCTGCTACGCCAAAACCAAACCCCTGTGAGCAAATTTAACAAAATGCAGTTTGGTCTCCCAAGTGTGATGGAGAGATGGTGGGTGGAGCGGTGGAAATGTTGTACACAGACTTGGGACCCCCGAAAGACCACCAGAGACTACAACCAATGCAAACAGCAAAAGAGTCATTTATTTGCAAGCTCGAGCTTGGTCCTCCGCGCACTTGGTAATCGATGATGCTAAGAGACCCCGAGCACAAAATCAGCACAGCTTTTATAGCATTTAACAAACAAGTTACATGATTGGTTAACACTTATAAAGAGTGCATAGTCATTTTTTACAGGCCCATGTACCGAGATTTGAGTCCATCCTAACCTCACTGCCTTTTTTCTGAACTATTGGTCCACATTTGATGGTTCAATGGTTGCAAAACCGCTATGTTCTGTTCCTGGAACACTTGGGCAATTGTCCTGTTTCTTAAGGGTGGGCAGGGTTGATGACAACCTGCAGTTTTTCCAAGAATTGTTTTTTTCTCTCTCTTGGGGTTACTCTGAGGGTAGCCCAGGGCAAGATGGTGGGGTTAATCTCAAAATGGAGTTGTTTTAGCTCTTCATTTCCTCCTCTTCTAGAAAATTGGGGGCCAGTCATGGTCCCCTAATTGGCACAGTCTTCAATATTTACCATTTGGTATTGGGATCTCAGCACTAATAGTTGGACTGTGTTGATCTTCTCTTTTACAAAAGACCCCAGTCTGTTGAATACACAAGGTCTGATTGTGAGTAACAAAATTAACAGTACCAAGGTCCTTACATTTTCTTCCACCAGTCCTGACTCTGTATATCACAGCTAACTTACTTTTATACCAGCTGTACTCGTATGCTCCAATTTTAAGACATACTCATACCATTTTTTACATACTTAAACTTTCTGAGGTTTGTCTTCTTTACAAACATTTTAGGACAATCCTTACCTTTCAAATCCTTTCTTACCCAGAGGATACCAATTTTTCTCCCAATTCCTTTCCCAAGGCTTTCTTTACTACCCTCTTTCTTTACAACTCCTTGAGCTTCTTTGTGGCTAGAGTTTAAAACTGCCCATTTTTCCTTTGGCTTGTGGAACCAAGTTATCTCAAAACAGCCTCAAGGCACCACTGGGATGCAGAAGCTTGCTAGATTTTTTTTTTTTTTTTTTTTTTTTTTGGGTCCGGTCGTGGGGCCTGAACTCTGGGCCTGGGCGCTGTCCCTCAGCTCTTCAGCTCAAGGCTAGCGCTCTACCACTTGAGCCACAGCGCCACTTCCAGCTTTTTTCTGTTTGCTTATGTGGTGCTGAGGAATCGAACCCAGGGTCTTGAGCATGCAAGGCAAGCGCTCTACCACTGAGCCACCTTCCCAGCCCCAGCTTGCTAGATTTTAAGGCTAAGAGTAAGGCTGGGTCTCATTTACTACCTCCATTGATTAAAGAAAAAAATCTCTCCTTTATCTGCACCTGGGAGGAAGCAGGTTATTACCATACCAGAGCCAAACTAGGTTGTGACTATAGAAAGTGCCTAAGGCAGGCCAGTGATATCCTTGCCCCGTATATCCACTGTGGGAGTAGAGAGGGTGACTGGATATCACCAAAAGAATGTCCCACAAGATCTTAGTTTTAGCAGCTTTCAACCGGGAAGCATTCTCAGGTGATGGAATCAGGCAGGAGTGCAGTCTACTTTTACCAGGGTGGAGGTGGTCTGGGTGACAATGTAGGTTTCCTCCAGGTGACTGTCAGGCTGTCGTTGAACTTTACCCATTAGGGTGTGCAGCAGCAGCAGCAGCAGCAGCAGGGTCTCTCAGTGTCTCCAAGGGACTGTCACACCTCGTGCTGGGCTGCAGATTCCTACGCAGACTGGTTAAGGATACATTGCATAGGCTTGGCAGGCTGTGACCCCACTAGTTTTTTAAGACCATTTAGACAATAGCCCAGGACAATTTACGAAGATGATAACTTTTAAAACTAGATAGTTCTTTTAACAAGGCTAGGATTTTCTTGGCAGATACAGAGGGCTCAGGCCTGTACTACTATTTCCCATGCCTTTTCCTTCTGTCTATTTTGCCACATTTTTTCAAAAGTGACTCTGGTCCCTTGATCTTAAAACGGGATGATGGGCGAAGATTCATCTTCTGTAACTTCTTCAAGCTGACTCAGGGTGTTGATCCTACCTAGCCAGGAACCTGTAACCTTAGCCTATTTTACAAAGAGGCTACCAGGGTTAGATGTCATTAAGAACAATATTTTAACTTTGACAAATGCACAGACCTTTTCTCTGACTACAGAAATGTAGCTTGTTTAACACTCTGGTTTGCAAAAGCATCTTTCTGGATGGCTTAGGAATGTGATCTCTAGTGATCCTAACAATACCTAAGTTACCTGTGCAGGCCTTCAGACAAATATCAATAGAAACACACTCTCAGGTTTACAAACTTTTTTCCTGAGCAGATGAATTTCATGTAGCTAGTGTCAGCTCAGTTACTGCCAATTAGGGCTTTTGGCACAAACAGGGGTTGGGATTTAAACTATCCCCCACATTTTATAACTTTAGCTTTTTACTACTATCACAGAGGATGGCAAGTTCCTGTC